TTTTTATCCATATTTTCAGAGCTTGATTGCATAATGAACTGATGTGTTTTGTTGTTGATGGGGCTGCTTGAGCCCAAACTGTCAGACAGAATGAGATATGGGAGAGAATCAGAGTGTGCATGAACAGTAGGGCTGCCTGGTTAGCAATATGATTTCTGATTAATTTGAAGCAGTTCTGATTTTTTTAAGACTGTATGTAAAATCTTCTTTATGTGGAGATTAAATTTAAGTTGAGGGTCTAAGACACCAAGGTACTTGAATTCTGGCACTAAACTGATTTCTTGGTTTTGTACATTAACTTTAAAATATTGTTGGTTTAATTTCCTGACTGAGAAACATTTTGAACAAGCCACTCTTGGACATTAACCACACATGAAGACAGGATGTCTGCAGCCTGTGCTGGTGTCTTGGTGGTCATATATACAACTGCATCATCTGCATAGAGTTGACATGTTGCAGTGAAGCAGTTTAACGGCAGGTCATTAATGAAAAGGCTGAACAGTAAGGGACCGAGAATGGACCCTTGTGGGATGCCCATGCGGGTATTTAAAACCGTTGATGTGTTCTAGTGAAGTTTGACACATTGTTCTCTGTTCTGCAAATATGATGTAAACCAATCTATCGTCTCAGAGGAACAAACAAAAGAAATCCATTTGGATGGAAGCAAAGTATGATTGACAGTATCAGAGGCCTTTTTGAGGTCAAGAAAAACAGCTCCCACAACATTACCCCCATCCAGGCTCTGTTTACTATCTTCAATGAGTAGCCTGGTCTGAAACCAAACTGGTGTGGATGAAGAAATTGACTGTCCTGAAGATAGTCTATGAGTTGTGTAGTGTACTCTGTATGGGCAAAGACAAAGTGAGTAACACAAAAGACACACACTGTGACACTCGACTGCATTTATACTGACTGATTCGATATGATTTCTGTCATTCATAAAATAAGAAGACTCATGATTATAAGAAATGAAATCTTTACAATAATGTATGAAAACAAAATGTTATATTTCATGCTATAATTACCTGCGTTTAGCCTGTGCAGCAGAGTGCTTTTTCCTTGTAAAAGGCAGATTATCCTGGAAATTTCAGAGAAGAAACGTTTAGTTTTCCACATTCAACAACTTGTTGTGGTGTCCTCTGAAGTGATGAGAGACACGATCAGAAAGCTGCAGCTTCTGAAGATTGCTGCTGTATCCTCACTGACATCATTAAAATACAGTTAAGTTGTGTCCAACTTTAAAAAAAAAAGTTGTACAGTCATAAATAATCCCAGATCAACTTGTCCACGCTCACCTTCAGTGGTTCTGTCTCGAGCTCTGTATTTACTTTGTGTGGATCCAGTGGGAGGTCAGAGTCCAATGATGGAGTCGCTATCAAAGAAAAGGACCTTTTTAAAAGGGAAATTATAAATAGTAATAGGAACAATTGATTGATAATCATAGAAAAGAAGCAAATAGAAGCATAAAAGTTAAATATTCCTGTAAAGTACTGTTGTCGAAAAGTGAACTTAAGTGCAGTAATTAGGTGAATGCAATAAATCATTTCCGGGGTTTATTAGAGCATGAAGGTGAACTCACCTANAAAACAAGGACAGAGCGGTGATCATGTCAACGAATATAAGGTATAAATAATAATTAGACACTGACAAATGTTTCTGGATGAACTGCTCACCTTCAACTGCTCCTGTGGCTTGTGCTCAGACCAGTCACGCTGTGTTTGTGTTTTGTTTGGATCCAGAGTGAGATCAGAGCCCTCTGATGAAGCATCTATGAAAGAAAAGGGCCTTTTTAAAAGGACATTCCAAATGATGGGTATGAAGGACTGACAGCAGTAGAAAGGCAGTAAAAAGCAGCATAAAACTGAAATCCTCCTGTAAATCACTGTTGTCTATTATTTATTCATTTATTTGATCAGGGACCATGCATTTAACATAAAAACATATGATATATTGCATATAGAGTGTATAGCATAAAGCTAATTTTCAACTCTCGTCCCTGGTTGGGCTTTTCAATAAAAATAGACAAAGGACCAACAACACCAATAAAAACAGCACAGACAACATTAGAAATGTATAACCCCCAACTGTAACCAACTGTTTTTCATCCATATTTTCAGAGCTTGATTGCATAATGAACTGATATGTTTTGTTGTTGATGGGGCTGCTTGAGCCCAAACTGACAGACAGAATGAGATATGGAAGGAGATCAGAGTGTGCATGAACAGTTGGGCTGCCTGGTTAAGAATATGATTTCTGATTAATTTGAAGCAGTTCAGATGTTTTTTAACTGTATTTGAAATCCTTTTTATGTGGAGATTAAATTCAAGTTGAGGGTCTAAGACTACCCCAAGCTACTTCAATTCTGGCACTAAACTGATTTCTTGGTTTTGTATATTAACTTTAAAATATTGTTGGTTTGATTTCCTGACTGAGAAACATTTTGAACAAGCCACTATTAACCATACATGAAGACAGGATGTCTGCAGCCTGTGCTGGTGTCTTGGTGGTCGTATATACAACTGCATCATCTGCATAGAGTTGACATGTTGCAGTGGAGCAGTTTTACTTGTCCACGCTCACCTTCAGTTGTTCTGTCTCAAACTCTGTATTTACTTTGTGTGGATCCAGTGTGAGGTCAGAGTCAAACGATTGAGTCGTTATGAAAGAAAAGGACCTTTTTAAAAGGGAAATTATAAATAATAGTAGGAACAATTGATTGATAATCATAGAAAAGAAGCAAATAGAAGCATAAAATTTAAATATTCCTGTAAAGTACTGTTGTCTAAAAGTGAACTTAAGTGCAAGGTACACACACCAATAGACATGATTGGGACAACCTCTGGAAGACTATAGAGGCAAATGCAAAGGTGGTTAACATAAGACACACACATTGTAACACTCAAATGTATGTATACTGATCAATTCTACATGATTTGTCTGATTCATGAAATAAAAAGAAATGATGACTTATAAAGAAGTCTTTTAAACAATTAAAGCATGAAAATACAATGTTATATTTTGTGGTATGATTACCCGCGTAAATACAGTGAAGCAAAGTCTTCCTCAGGTGACCGATCTGATGGAGTGGAGCACATACAAAGTGAAACACTCAGCTGGCAGCCATTGAAACAGAAGCTAAATTAACCCATTGCAACCCAACTGAATCAAATT